CCCCCCCCCCCCCCCCCCCCCCCCCCCCCCCCCCCCACAAAAAAAGGAAGAGCGAATTCTGGGTAATTCTTTTCTGCTTCTGTGAGACAAATGGTGCCAAACCACATTGCTGTTTGGTTATTTGAGGAACTATTTCATAGATGTAGAAATTTATCACACATTGATCTTAAGTGCTGTCTTGGCTTCTATACCCCATTTTCCTGGAGGTTCAGGGAAGAGGGAAACGCCAAAGTCAACTTCAGATTTGATTCCAGTCCTTTTTTTACTTCCTTCTTAGTTTATCCAACCATGCTTATTCTGGAAACAAAAGACACATTTCCAGTCTGGAGAGGCTGATAACTGGCTTACGATCTCCTGCCATAATATTGTATGGCCAAGGGAAGCAGAAAAGAGAACGGGTAGAGGTCATCCAGAGCAATCCACTGAGTGGCCCCAGGGAACTGAATGGCATAGCTTACAATAGTGTGTTCAGCCCCTGTGTGCCTCTGGGTTCTTCCACATAGATGACTCTTTTTTGTGTGTTTATTTCATGTCCAGCTTTTGTTCAAAAGCAGTATGATTGACTATTTAAAAAAAGTCTGTGTGTGAGATGGTGTGGTTGTTTTTTTTTTTTGTTTTTTTGGAACGTTTGCTTATTTTTGAGACAGAGAGAGACAGAGCATGAGCGGGGGAGGGGCAGAGAGAGGGAGACACAGAATCCGAAGCAGGCTCCAGGCTCTGAGCTGTCAGCACACAGCTCGATGCGGGGCTCGAACTCACGGACCATGAGATCATGACCTGAGCCGAAGTTGGACGCTTAACTGACTGAGCCACCCAGGCACCGCCAGTATTTTTGTTTGTTTGTTTGTTTGTTTGTTTGTTTGTTTGTTTGTTTTTAAGGACACTTATTTTAACTGGGTCATCTTTTCTTGACAGACTAGGGAATTCATTCACAGAGTAAACTAATTCAGCAGCTGTCAAATCCAAGCTCATCATTAGTTTATTAAACATGAGTCAGGTGGCAGTCAGTGCAGATCTCACTTTCAGTGGAGACCAAGGGCGCATTTTGTTCCTTAATTTATCAGTCACCATAACACATCTTATTCCATCTCTTTCCTATTTTACTGCATCTAGGCTTTTTTAAACAAAAAACAAAAAGCAAAACTATAAAGTTAGGTTTAATTGTACATTTTAGAACCAACTCCTTAATATTATTAAAATAGAAAGCAAGTTCTGGTGCTTGAAAGGTCAACTTTTGCCTACCAGAAAAAGAGATACTCATGGAACACCTTTTACAGGGCAGGCATAGGAGATGCAGATCTGATTAGCTATGACAATAGCTGTATATTCTCTAGAGAAAAAGTATATTAGGCCATTGAGTGCTGTATTTTTTCCCAACATTTTATTATGAAATTTTTTAAATATAGAGAAAAGTTGAAAATTTTTATAGTAAACACCCATACATGTACTATTTATAATCTACTATTAACATTTTGTCACATCTTGCTTTATCACATATCTGTCCTTACATTGATCCATGTTATTTTTTTGATGCATTTCAAAGTAAGTGTATAAATACATTTTCATTTCATGGTTTCATATAAAACCATGTAAAACCCACAAAAAATATTTGGCTTTAAGTTTATTTGTTTATTTTGAAAGAGAGAGAGAGAGTGAGGTGGGGCAGAGAGAGAAGGAGAGAGAGAATCCCAAGTGGACTCCACAGTGTCAGTGCAGAGCCCCATGTGGGGCTTGAACTCACAAACCGTGAGATCCTGAGCTGAGCCAAAATCAAGAGTCAGATGCTCAACCAACGGAGCCCCCCAGGTGCCGCAAATATTTGGCTTTTTTTAAACTTAGTTTATCTGAATCGTTGACTCGGGAATATAATATTCCAGTTGCTGATGTTTTGGTGCTTTTCTGTCTTCTCCTTTTAGCTCATCCCTAAAATGCTCTGGGCAACATTTGCTAGCTGGGTAGGTTTCCTGTAGTGCCCATGGTTATTTAACCACATGTGTTGTTTGTGTGTTTATGGCAAATGCTTCCTGTGACTGCTCTGAAATATCCACCCCCCTGCTTTGATGGAGTTACTAAAGGCAAGGTTTGTCAATGAGTCACGTCACTTCCTTCATGAATATCCCTCCAGTCTATTTAGAGTGACCAGAAAGGTGTACATCCTACTGTATAATTAGTCCTTTACTAAACAGAGAAACAAAGAAAACGTTAAAAAAGAAAAGTGAGGGGCGTCTGGGTGGCTGAGTCAGTCCCACTCTTGATTTCAGCTCAGGTCATGATCTCACCTCACAGTTGTGAGATCAAGCCCTGTGTCAGCTCTGCACTGGGCCTGGAGCCTGCTTAAGATTCTCTCTCTCCCTCTCCTTCTTCCCCTCCCCCTGCTCACCAGTACTCACTCTCTCTCTCTCTCTCTCTCTCTCTCTCTCTCTCAAAAAAGAAATAACTAAATTTCATTTCATTTCATTTCATTTCATTTCATTTCATTTCATTTCAACTCAGTGAGTTTTTTTAAACTAAGATTTGACCTTGATTCTTTGTAAGAGATTTTACGAGTATTTAAAAAGATTCAGAAGATCAGTCATGTTGACTTCCCTCCACCTCTTACCTTCTTTAACTTCTTTAAAAGCACAATTTCAGGGGCACCTGGGTAGCCCAGCCGGTTAAGCATCTGACTTCAGCTCAGGTCATGATCTCACGGTTTGTGGGTTCGAGCCCCGCGTCGGGCTCTGTGCTGACGGCTCGGAGCCTGGAGCCTGCTTGGGATTCTGTGTCTCCCTCTCTCTGTCTCCCTCCTCCCCTGCTCACACTCTGTCTCTATCTCAAAAAATAAATTAACATTAAAAAACTTAAAAAAATAAAAAAGGTAAAAGCATGATTTCAAATATGGAAATATGTAAGGAAGTCAGCTCCTGATGTTAAAAACGAATTCCCACATGGTAGAATTCTGTTTATTTAACTTCCTCAACTGCAGTTGGCCCTTCTTTTTTTAAATAGGTAACTTGCTATCACTCAGATGTACAGTATGCTTAATAAGATGAAATTATCCAATATTCCCTCACAAAAATTAAAGCATTTGTTGGCTTTGAGTCATATTAGATATCCACTTTTCTGTCTTTGAAAAGTACCTTTAAAAATATAGCACAATCACTTTATAGGAAGAATTGACTAAAATGCTTTGAAGATTATATTTTTCTTTTTATTAGTAATATCATTAAAGGCTGACCTTGTAAAGCCTTCCTTTGAATCACATGAACCACAAATTTAGCTTTTGTCTGTTATGTATAATTTATAACCTACATGCCTTGCCCAACTCATATAAAGTAAATATTTGACCCTAAGGATATATTTTAAGGATATCAAAGGATGTATATTTTGTGAAGCAATTAGAAAAACCCACAGTATTTTCATAGGAAGAAATATGAATTATAACAAAATTTGTTTGACACACAGGCACTTCCTGAAAGTGTACTAACTGCCTGTTTCTTATCTCGCAGGGTGATTTCAGCTTATGTTTACTCTTTGTCTAAATAACCAGACTCAGCATTCCTTTTCTTATGAATTAAAATTAGTATTTTGGAAGAATGTGGACACTTTTCTCTGTCCAGATATGGGAAGTTAATAGAGAATTTAGCCTGTTCAACTAACAAATACAATCGGTGCAAATATTGAATACTGATGTTTTATTCATTATAAAAACAATCTTAGTAGTAAGAAGTCTATTTGAATTTTTAAAATAAATTTATCTTTTCATAGAAGACTTCTTTTTCAACGTTTTGGTTGAGCCTTTTTGTATTGTGTGATGTTCCTTCAATAGAATTCGTAACAGCATCTTCTAAGAGATCATCTTTTGTAAGCACTGGTGTCCAAGAAGTAAAATCTATGCTCATGTATCAAACAAACGATGCGCTATTGGAAGCAACAGAGAAAAGTTCATCAAATAAGTAATGATTAAGATCTGAAGGGGTATTTATTTCTTTAAAATCCCTGGTCATTTTTCTCTTAATCCCATCCGTTGGACAGCATTCATTAAATTGGCCGTTAAATTTTACTATTTGGTGAAGCACTAGAGAAAAAAAAGACTTTGGAAAGTCAAGTCACAAGAAAATAAATCATCTCCATCAACAGTACACCATAATAACCCCATTCAGAACATTCTGGTTTGAAGTCAGACTCCAAAGAAATGACTGCATTCTGCTACTGTGGAAACCAAAGCAGACAAAATCAAGTATTTTGGTTGGATTTGAATGGAAATCAACTCAGACATGCATCAGATGGTTCTAATTTGCTCTTTTGATATGTCTCAGATCTTTATGTGAAGGCCAGATCCAGAAGTAAGTTTTTATCTGCCTTCTGATAAATTGTGCTTATAAGCCCATGAGATGTTCAGCAATGAAAGGTTTTCACCAGAGTGTGGACACCATTATAGTTTTTTTCAGAACACAATATGAAGTCAGGAAGCAAAAAGGTTTATAGTCAGTAAGGAAATCGATCCCATAAGGAGAAAAAGTAATATATAAATTAATGATCGATCTTTCTGCAAAATCTTTTGACAGCTTTTTATGTCAGAGTGTTTGATCATTATCTAAGTCCAATAGTTGTGGCCTGATCTACTTTTCTGATTATAATATCATTTATAGTAACTAAGTCTTCCTGCCTTTCCTCCCCCACCCTCATTCATAAACAGAAAAGAATGAAGAGGAAGAACAAGAAGCAAAAATGGAACTTAAGCGCAGACTCAGCAGAAAGGTGATGAAAACATGACTGTTAATGATCATGTGTGTTTTGAGTATACTTCATTATTTAAATGCAGATCAGCCCTCTGCCTTTACATTTGATACTGAGGAATAATTACTCCGATTAGTTCACTACCTAATCAAAGACATTAAGATCAATGGAATGCATATAATATGGATTATGTTTATATTTACGATTGCATGATATGCTAATTTGAAAAGTTAACAATCAAAAGTTTTAAATTACATTTACCAATTACGAATATAGCATGTAATCTGTGTGAATACTTGTTTAAATGCGAAGAGGAACAAAAAAGAAAAGAAAACCACACAAATGTCTTTTATTCAGCGATAACCATTATTAACATTTCAATATACAGTTTTTATTTGTTTTTATTTTTTTTTTTCAATATACAGTTTTTAAAAATGCTCACGTTTTCTGTGTAGTCTTGGAAATATTACATAAATATTAAATTGAAGATCTGCCACTAGTCCATGTGTGAGCTGGGTCAGGAATTTATTAAGTGAATTTGATTACCCAACCTGCCTGCTGCTGGGCTACCTAACTTGACAAATGGCTTACCTCCAAAACTCAGACTGTTGTTTCCACCCACTCATAAAAACATAAATCTGGCACCAGGGTCATCGCTTTTTCTGTGTTAGAATAACAATAGTCTTCGGAAAACTTAAGCACTATCAGAGTTTATCTTTCATTATATTTCACTATAAATCTTTATACAAATATATAAAGATTTACTTGTAATTCTTCAGATTATACCTTTCACACCTGGATAAGGCAGGATAAGTAAAATATGACATCTGCAGTGAAGTGTGTGACCTGACCCACGTTTATCTGAGATGGCTGGGGAGTCCACAGCAAAGTACTCTAAGGCATACAGAAGAAACTCCATTCCCATGGAAAAGTTGGAGACTATTTTGAGAGATTTTGGTTTTCATTTTTAGGGAAAAAGATCCTTAATTCATCTTTTTTTTTTTTTCAAAGATCCTACATGTCAAGTAATGATCAAGCTGACAGAGTTCCTGTAAACTGAATTGCTAGAGATGGCTCTTGTGGCATTCGGTGGCTGTTATGTTACCAGCTACAAATAAGAATAGCCCCTCCTCACTGTCCATGCTCACCCCTGCCATACACACTCATCTTTTGTCAATCCATTTGGGCCCCACCGGGAGGCAACAGAGCCTGGCCTGACCCCCTGACTCCCGCTTCCCTCCACTCTACAGAGCTCTCTGCCATAGGTACAGAACATCCCATCGCGCTAATAACACAGTCCTAAAGGGCAAGACTGGATGGAGAATTTCTGACCCATGTGGCCTCTGGTCCCTTGCCTTTTGGGCACTCCCCAGAGGCAGTGGTTTCTCTACCTCCTTACCCCCACATGCCCTGGAGAGGCAGGAAGAAGCTAGCAATATAGATTGAACAACATATGAGTATAAGGGAACCATTTAGATCATTCCTCCCTCTGTCCATTGCCTACCAGGGCTTTATGAAGCTAGAAGGAGTCACGGTTGCCATACCCCGGCTCAAGTGAACTCAGAGTGTAGACCCAGACCCTTATAGGAGTGCTCAAGTGACTTGAATGTTAGAGCATTGACCTGCTTCAGCCTCTGATTTTACTCAAGAGGACACTGAGGCTCAGGAAAGGTTTTTTGGGGGTTTGTTTGTTTGTTTGTTTGTTTTCCACAAACACATCATTTTTGTGTGTCAAGGTGCTCAGTTTTTTTAAATTGAAGTTGTATGCATAAGGAACCTCTCCAAAGAAGACCACTTAGACAATGAATGGTCTGGCTGTATACACAGTACATCTATGGGTAAAAAAGATACTGGAAATGGACCCCATGGGTAAAAGAGGCCTGGGTCTATGGCATCTCCAGACTGAGAGAGGCCACAGAAGCATGAACCTTAGTAGCAGAGAGTAGATCATGCCTGTCAGCTAGGGCCCAGCAATCTTTAGTCTCTCAGAGCCATCTCTCTTTATTCTTGGGCTTGGGAAAGGACCAAGAGAGGAGAACAAATACACAGAGCTGGGTGGATTAAATATAACTGTAAATTTGAATTTGACTAAGACCATAGGAGGAATCCAAGTTATTAGAAGTGTCTTAAAGGTCTCAGCCTATTTTAAGCAGTTAAGGCTCACTGAATGTACTCCGTGCCCCTGTGCATTTCTGCACAGCAGCTTTTCCCACCGGGATAATGTCAAATCTGGGCCTGGGTCTCTAGTCTTTCTCAGATGACCACCATAGACACGCCCTTCACCGGACCATTTCTTTGTCATAACTTTGTGCATTTCTGAATATAGAGGTTTAATATAATAGGAACAGAGATCTCATTTCGAAAAGTTACAGTGCTTTTGTCTGGATGATTCAGTCTCCAAGCCAGCCATCCTATATCTGGATTGCTATTGTGTCTGCGTGGCTTCGTGTTCCTTGTGTCAGGGATGACAGGTGCCTTTATCGCAGTGCCAGGCAAGTTGGGGAAAATAGCATAACGCAGATGGCTGCCAACGCCTGTGACCTATCTAACAATGATGATTTTTATAGTTTCAGAATTAGGGCACACTGCTTTCTGGTTCTCATTAGAAACTCCCAAGATGCTGCTGCCTTTTTTTCTCTTTTGGATATCTGAAAGTGACCTTGTTTAACCATAACTTTGAAGTTCTCTATAGACAACTTGCCACCATGAGGCTGTAAATGGTCTCCTGAACTTGTCCTTTTTTCCCTATCCCCCTGCAGCTCAGCCTGAGACCTACAGTGGCCGAGCTCCAAGCTCGAAGGATCCTGCGGTTTAATGAGTATGTGGAAGTCACCGAGTCTCCTGACTACGATCGCCGGGCAGACAAGCCCTGGGCCAGGTTAACACCTGCAGACAAGGCAAGAAATCCTCATGGTTTTAGCCGTGATTTTATTTATGATTTTATTGCTTTTCTCAAAGCTTCAATATCCGTGTGGCCTCACCCCGCAAACACACACATACTCAGTCGTCCCAGGAGGCTAGATATTACCACATAACTCAAAAGTTTTCTGCCTTTAGTTATTTGAGCCACTTAAGTGATCCATTTAGGAATAGCAATGGAGTTCTTTCAGCTAAGTCTTAGAAAAAATGAGTTCTTAGTTACCGTGTAACCTGCCTGCATTCATACCTGGATTGAGGGCACGGTAGTTCCACAGCCATGATTTTTCCTTACTCTTAGAAAATATAATTTATACCAGTTATCATTTTCAAGGGATATGGTAATAGTGAAAAAGGTATTGCTCTATATGAAGGCTGACACACTTTTTCTACAAACAGCCAGAGAGTAAATATTTTAGGCTTTGTGGGCCATATAGTCTTGGTTGCAATAGCTCAGCTCTGTCGTAGTCTGAAAGCAGCCATAGACAACAGGTAAGTGAATGGATGTATATGTGTTCCAATAAAACTTTTTTTACAAGAACAGGTGGTGGGCCAGATTTCGCCTGCAGGCTATGGTTTACCAACTCTTAATCAATATCATAGCTCACAGTCCAGAAAAACTTGAAATGTATAGTGAGTCCCATCATGGAGAAAGACTATTCTATGAGTAATATAGTTCCAAAGCCAAACAATTTTGCTAACCTTTTGTTTTCAAATTCTTCAGTTTAGGGTTTTCCTAATATCCCAAATAATGATTTCTAATTTTTGTCTCTAAGCAAAATTTGGTATCAAATAAATTCATGCCACATTCAGTCTTAATGCTAGAGCTCAGTATTTTAATTATATGCCGTGCTGAAGCTTTTTAATAGGTTTCATTCTGTAAAGCACCTGCTGCATTCAAGCACGTATCAGAGATCTAGATCAGAAATCATCTGCTCACAAGAAGAAATGAAAATGAGGGAGGAAAATGATCACAAAGGAAGGATGTTTGGAATGAGAATAGAGTAGAGGGAGGCGAAGAATAGCACCCAAGGGACCCAACATTGGTGAAGAGGCAGTCGAACATGAAGAAGAAATGTCTGTGAGGTAGGGAAAGAGGAGAAGACGTAGCCCAATAGCCTAGGAAGGAGAAGGTCAGGTCACAAGTGGTTAGTCATGTGGCTAGAGGGGACGTTTTAGCAGTCTGGTGGGTGGAAGCCTGACTAGTAGAGAAAAGGAAAATAAAATAAAACCTCAAGAATCTTGGCTATGAAGGAGAAGCCATAGAAGGAGGTAATCAGTGGAGCGGTGATGATTGTGGAGGCTGCAAGCTTTTACATATACGAGAAATACCTGAGCAATCTTTTATGCCACAAAGAAGGGGCCAAAAGAAAAAGAAAGGTTGAATACATAGGAGAAAAGGCCAGTAACTGATATAGTAGGGCATAATCAATGGAGCAGCAGGAGAATGTATGTTTGTAGAAAAGGCAAGGAGGAGACCCTTGCGGCTGGGATGGAGAGCACAGGCTGAGGAACGCCCTAAAGGTAGAGGCTTCTCCAAGGCAGGTAAAATCACTCAGGTTGAGGGAAGCCACCAGGGGATGAAGAAGATTGGTACTCAGGTCCGTGTCAAGCTCACTGCTAATCAGTGCCTTGTTTCTTGAAGGAAATGTCAAGGTTATGGGTTACAAAGAATTGCCTGTAAACTACTTACTGTGGTTTCTTGCCCTCACCCCTAAGGCTCCCTGTGTAAAGTCCAGCCCTGTGCTATTCCCTAGGTTACCAAGAAGAAGAATGCCTGGCCTTGAGAGCCTTGTGTTCTAGTCAGAGGGTATACTCATGGACACAAGTGCTGTGAGTGCAGAGTGCATGGAGTCCTGAGAGAGGGTAAGGGGAAAGGTGGGAAGATTTGGGGGCAAGCCCCTCCCACCCTTGAGGTGAGCCTTGAAGGTATCTCATTAAGCACGGTGTGGACAGAGGGAGCCTGCCATTTGCCTACTGCCTACTCCTCACATCCAGGTCTCCGGCAAGTTGTCATGGGGTGTGAAAAACATGTCTCCCCCTGGGAGCCCCTCTTGGGCTGATGTGAAACACAGCTAAGACTATTGAGTGTGTTTTATCCTAACCACAGCCCTCAACCAGCAGCCCTTTGCTCTTCCCTTTACTGCCTCACACGTAATTCTGAGTGGTTTCCACTGCTTTATTTGCCTTCCTTCCTGCACTTTCCCCTCTCTGTTCAGCAGCAGTAGACTTCACTTATGACCTCATGTGTCGTCTGATACCTCACAAAGAAACACGAGGTTTGAGGTCAGGTGCAGTCTTTAGGGTGAGTGTTAACAACAGATAACATTTCTTTCTCAACCCTAACCCTTTCTCAGTTCTGGTCGTATACATTCTTCTGGCATTTTGGTTTTTTATTTTTTTTAGTTGTGAATTATATCACATGGTGAAGAATGTGTGAAACAAATGTACCATTTAACTAATAAAAGGAAGAGACCTGTTTTATTAATCCCTGAATATTACCAGTACCTGAAAAGAGCTCTGTGTGCTCCTTCCCAATTGCATTTCTCTCCCTTCCATAAGGAATAACCACCAGGGCACCTGGATGGCTCAATTGGTTGAGCATCTGCCTTCAGCTCAGGTCATGATCTCACAGTTTGTGGGTTCAAGCCCCGTGTCGGGCTCTGTGCTGACAGCTCAGAGCCTGGAGCCTGCTTCAGATTCTGTGTCTCCCTCTTTCTCTGCCCTTTATACCCCACCCCAAAAATAAATAAACATTAAAAAATTAAAAAAAAAAAAAAGGAATAGCCACCACCCTGACTTTTGTCTTAATTATTTCCTTTCTTTCCTTTTTAGGAGTTTAACCACCTTATTTATACCTCTAAACAATAGCTGTATATTTGTTAGTTTTGCCAGTTTTGGAGGCTAAGTACGTCATATGCTGTACTTCTGGGTGTTGCATCATTCAGTCAACACCAAAGAATCTGGGTTAATGCACTAGGCCATCATTTCTCTTTTTCACTGAAATATAATACTTTGTCATATGTATCAGTCACAAAGTAATTATCCATTTAGTTGTTGATTACTTAGTTTCTAGATTTTACATTCGCAAGCTATATACTATGAAGATTCGTGTATCATCTTCAGGGACACGGATCCAGGACTTTTTTCTAGCATATATTCCTTATATGCTAGATCCTTACAATGGGATTGCTGGGTCCTAGAATGTAGGAATGTTCGGCTAAATTAGGCAGTGGCAATAGCTTCCCAAAATAGTTGCTCTGGTTTACCCTCCCACCAGCAAAGGTTAAAACTTCCCATGGCAACATGTGATGGTCAGGCTTTTTGTTCCTTTTTTGTTGTTTTTTTTACTTGACAACCTAGTGGTTATGAAATAATATCTCATTGCACTTATACTTTGCCTCTCATTAATTACTAATGAGGTTGAGCATATTGTCATACCTATTCTGCATACGGATTCTACTTTTGTGCCTGTCTTTTGTCTATTTTCTTTTGGGTTATCAATTTCTTGTTGATTCATAGGAGTCCTTCCTATATTTCAGTTATCTATATTGTAAATACATATTTATCTTCTCCCGACTTATAACATTGTATTCTCTTTATGGTATGTTTTGACAAAAGAGATTCTTACCTTTAATACAGTGAATTTATCCACTTTTTCTTTATGGCTTGTGATTTTGCTTCTTTGAAAAAATTCTTCCCATACCAAAATCCAAAATGTATTCTGCTATACTGTTTTCTAAAACATGTATAGTTTTGCTTTTCACATTTAAGTTCATTTACCTAGAGCTGATGTCTTTAGAAGATATAAGATATACCTTTAACTCTGTAGAGCAGATCATCTCTAGTATGTTTTCTATGTTGCTGTTTGCTCTTTATCTTCTTTCTTCTAAGTTTCTTGCCTTTATCTGGCTGTTCTTTTCTAACTTAAGATGGACTCTAAATCATTAACCTTTTTCTTTCCTTTTTTTCTGATATAAGCACCGAAAGCTATATATGGCGCTGTATGTCAGTGGTTCCCAACCTTGGTTACACATTACACTCACCCAGAGGAGCTATAAGAATGCTGATCCCTGGGACCCACCTCCAAAGATCCTGATTTAATTGGTCTGAGGTGTGGCCTTAAATACTGGGATTTTAAAAGTATATGGTCAGTAATTATAAAATGTTCCATATATCCTTGAAAACTGTGTGTTCAGTTTGGGGGTATGGCATTTAAAATATGTCTGAAACTAAATCTTGTTGGTCTCATTCAGATTTCTGTACCCTTGGCTTTTTTATCCTTGCTTTTTTTTTTTTTTTTTTCTGCCTAGTCTATCCTATACCAAGAGAGGAATATGTTATCTCTCCCAATACATATTTGGATCTTCCCTTCTCTTTATAATTCTATCAATTTTACTTCCTATATTCTGAGACTGTGTTAATAGATATATATGTTTAGAATAATTACATTTTCCTGATGAAGCCTTTATTATGAGACTCTATTCAAGAAATGCTTTCTGTTGTAAAGACTATTTTATCCAATATTATTTTAACATAAAGGTGAGTTGTGTTAGACCACCTTAGTTCAGTGAATTCACACTGTAAACCCATGTGAGGGCTACCTATGGATTCATATATTTAGGATAGATTTCATCAGCATGACACTTTCTGTGCGGTTCTCTGGGATCAGACATTCTAGCATAGCCTTCACTGAGGCTATACCATAAGGGTCCCTCTCAATGGCAGGAGGATCATGTATTAGACTTTCCACCTTGGGCAGGTTTTGTCTCTGGTCTTCAGTATCTCACTAAGCTATGAAGATGATCGCTTGGAGTCATCACATAGCAAATGCCCTCAAGGTCAAAGGCAATTTCAGTGCTCTCCTTACCCCATTTCTCTGCGCTTCATCTTCATTTATTATTTTCCATCGAAGTATTTTTTACTTTCTTACCAGCTAATTAGTACACTTAAGATAATTTTTTAATGTTATATACAGCAT